CAGAAATATAGACAGATACTGAAGGATCGGATAAATATGGTGACAAAGATGAGGACAATAGTCGGAATAATCTAAATAGTGTACATAATACCTCATCTCAGAAATATAGACAGAAACTGAAGGATCGGATAAATATGGTGACAAAGATGAGGGCAATAGTCCGAATAATGTAAATAGTGTACATAATACCTGATCTCAGAAATATAGACAGATACTGAAGGATCGGATAAATATGTCGACAAAGATGACGACAATAGTCCGAATAATGTAAATAGTGTACATAATACCTCATCTCAGAAATATAGACAGATACTGAAGGATCGGATAAATATGGTGACAAAGATGACGACAATAGTCCGAATAATGTAAATAGTGTACATAATACCTCATCTCAGAAATATAGACAGATACTAAAGGATCGGATAAATATGTCGACAAAGATGAGGACAATAGTCCGAATAATGTAAATAGTGTACATAATACCTCATCTCAGAAATATAGACAGATTCGTACAATTTATTTATATTTATGTGCGCGATAGTGTGTGTATTTTTTAGGTAACAATTGTTTTATGGTACATGTGATAAAAGGGAGAATTTTACTCCGTATATTACAAGCCATATCACAGAGAGAAGCAAGATACGTGTTGCTCGTGCCAAGGTTTGTGGTGAAGAGTCTGAATTTAATGTCTTTTGATGGGATGACCATATTTCCAACAGGAATAGTTTTTGTTGCATGCTGGGAGTATTTTACAATTTTATATAATTTATCTTATACGACGTTTTTATGTTATTGTTTTATTTCTTTTTATTCATAATAATAATAATATTCTTACAAAACCTCATCAGAAGAATTACCATGAAAGTATTTCGACAAAAGACATATATATATATTAAGACATTTTATGTTTATACATTCTTTTTATAGATACAAATATTTAAGTAAATGTTTAAATCGGTTAAAAGGCACGTCAGGCTATATGACGGTTCCGTATACGATGCAAGTTCGAATCCTGTCGGACAAATATTTTCTATGAAAATTTCTTGGACATTCAGGCTGGTAAATGTTGTTTAATACTGTTTATTACAAAACAGAGCATTTACTTAAATATTTGTATCTATAAAAAGAATGTATAAACATAAAATGTCTTAAAATAATTGTCGGACTTTGTCCATTTCAAAATATATATATATACATTTAGGCAGCAATCCTTCTTTAATGCCCATTTTATGGAATATGACAAACAAGGTGCTTTTAATTAAGTTTTTTATACAATTTCTCGTGATCTAATATTTTTTCTGTCCCATTTTGCTTTTTATCTGACCGCTTACGGCTATACATTTAGCCATTTTCAAGGTTGAAACATATTAATTGTTGACAAGAAATAGATTGTTGTATGTATGTATGTATTTATATAATGTTTTCATTATTTTCAAAACACAGTCAAGAGAAATTGTATAAAAAGATAAACCAAAGCTCCTTGTCTGTCGTATTCAATGAAATGTGCAGATAGATAGATAGATAGATAGATAGATAGATAGATATAGTTTAAGATTTATATTTAAGTCTTTCATGATTAGGATTTGCAATCAAGTCACTATATATAGATATAGATATAGATATATAGATATAGATATAGATATATATACATATGTATGTATGCATGTATATGTATATATATAATGGCTTGATTGCAAATCCTAATCTTACAACCCATCATCGAATGACTTAAATATAAATCTTAAACTTACGACACATCTCTTAAGGACCTAGATAATAGCAAAAACGCTATACAACAGCCACACAAAAAATACAAGAAACAGAAAATAACCATTTTTCCCACCCATAATTACCCATAATCCTTCAGTGGCAAAATATATATATATATATATATATATATATATATATATATATATATATATATATTTTTTTTTTTTATATATATATATATATATATATATATATATATATATTTGTTTTATTATATATATATATGTGTGTGTGTGTGTAAAAAACAAATTTGTTATGTCTAACAAAAAAAGGAAATTACTAAAAGTTATCTTGTTTAAACGTGTGCAGATTTTTTTTTCAACAGAAAGCGCTCAATATAAAAAATAAAGCAACAATAATCAATATATGCAAAAGTTCAAAAACTCATCTTAGAACCGGCTTCAAGTTTCGCAGTTACACCGCTAGTCAGCGGCCGATAAATCTGATTTCAATCGCAGATATATTTGCTTGTTTCATAAATTCGTTTGTTTTTTGTCATTTATTTTAATAATTATTCTTCTAAATAGGTCTGATGAATCTTTCACCAATGTCTTCCCATTCATTGTTCACAAACCTCCTACCAACGTTCCATTAATTGTTCAATGTCTTGACAATGGATATCACTAGTTTTTGACTCGAAAAATTCATCAAGCCACGTTTTACGCTCCATATCGTTGTTGAATAAAACACACTTCAAATTCTTAGAAAGCTACCGAAAAAGTGGGTCGAATGATGGGGCTGATCAGGAAAAATATGGTAGATATGGAGACCTTCCCAACCGGTCTTTTTTTTTTTTTTTTTTTGTATCCGCTTGTGTCCAGCGATTAAACTGGTGGCAATGTAGGAATGCTTGTGTTGTTTTCTCTCGATCAATATGGCACTCATGCGCTGTGTTTCTGGACCTTACCCATTGAATGAAGATGACAAAAAAAAAACAGTAATATGAAAGCTTACCGTCTTCTGAGCTAAATTCCTAATGGTCTGGTGCGGTTCTTCTTTAACCAGCGCGTGCAGTTGGTTCTCATCAAACAGGTCGACCAGAATGCAGAAAGTCTGTGGGTTCTAAATCCCCCCCTCCTTGAAACGGGAAAACCATTTCTGCGTCATTCTCTCGGTGACGAAATCATCTCCGTACACAACACAAGTGTCTCGATGAGCTTTGGCAACTTAGTGACCTTGATTTAAAAACAAAGAACCGATGTCGAACATGTTCGTTCTTGTTGATTTGGCATTCTATTTCAAAAGGGGCGTCTAATCTAAAATAGAAGTTTGTTAACGTTAGGCAACATTTTCACAGGATCGCCAGAGTTACAAACAAGCAAAAAAATGCTACGAAAGTTTTCGAGATTATTCGCTGAACATCAAAAAAAAAAAAAACTAACGAATATATTCAACAACCTCAATAGATTTATCGGACATTGACGAGCTGTGTGTCTGAGAAACTTTAAGTCGGTCCTAAGATAATTTTTTAAAACTTTTCTTTATTTTGACATATGTGTCTTAACAACGCTATTATATTACAATATAAACATGAACTGACGACTCGTGAACACACTTAAGGATTTATATCAAAACTACCTTCATATGTTACTCAATAACAAATAACAGACCAATATGCCCTGTCGGGTTCTCCTCTCCAGGACAAATCTTGTTAACCATATTTCTTTTACTATTTTTCAGAAAATACAAGGCATAAGAGCCACTCAAGATAGAGGGTATTGAATGG